CGTGATGAATGGCTAAACTTGAACGACTGAGATTATTCACCTTTCTGCTGCAGGAGACAAAGGTTTAAGTCTAAATCTGCTAACAAATGTTTTAACAAATCGTATTAAATAATCTGATGACAGAACTGTAAACAGAATAGCTGAAACTTTAACAAAATAAAGAGTAACTCNGACTGAGATTATTCACCTTTCTGCTGCAGGAGACAAAGGTTTAAGTCTAAATCTGCTAACAGGTTATGGGCCCAGATAACGACGAATGATTCTCAAGTTGAACTTGAGAATCATTCGTCGTTATCTGGGCCCATAACCTGTTAGCAGATTTAGACTTAAACCTTTGTCTCCTGCAGCAGAAAGGTGAATAATCTCAGTCGTTCAAGTTTAGCCATTCATCACGGCGTTATTTATTTTAGGCACACATCTCAAGAAGCTTGAGGACAGAGAGAGAAGGGGCGTGACTTCCAACGGTCTTATACCCTAGGTAGTGACATCATCAATCATGTGGTACAGCAGCTAACCAATGAACACAGTTAGTAGTCGCAGCTACTTACATAGACAATGTGGTGCACAGTAATAATATAAGTCATATACAATATACATATATCTATGTCATATTCTAACAACATTGTTGTTTCTTTTGATGTGAAATATTATTTATTTAATTTAAATAAAAAGCAATGTTAATTTTGTAAACAATTTGTTAAGTTAATTTAATAATAATACAGTAATAGTCCGAATAGTCGATTAACCAATAGATTAATCGATTATCAAATTAGTCGTTTGTTGCAGCCCTATTGTAGTTATCCCATGTATAAATAAAACCTGTTATTCAGCAATCCTTGCAATTTGGGATTTTCTTTTTGGTTGGTAGACCTCGGTGAGCTGGTCATTTCAAAAGTAGCTCAGCAGCCAAAAAAGTGTGGGCACCCAAACCTTATAGGGTGAGTATTCAGACTTCCTCGTGACTCTGTTGGTATAGGTCAACCAGTGCGAAAGCACCGCCTCTGGCGGTCAGTAAGGATGAAATAGAACGATAGTTACGTATGTAACTACGGTTCTATGAATACTGGATGACAGCCAGAGTTCTTGGTCACTCGGAATTTCGTGTTTCTGCGAGAAGATTCCATAGGACTGAGCTCGTTGACGGCGCCGGAACTTATGCCTTCCGGGTCATACGAGGTCACAGGTGACTTTGTTGATATAAATATTCGACCTGCGCACGCGCGAGACAGAAGATATCCAGTGCTAAAGCACCGCCTCTAGCGGTCATCCAGTATTCATAGAACCGTAGTTACATACGTAACTATCGTTTTATTGTGTTAGGAGAACAATTCAAAATAGGCATTGTAAAGTCCAAAAGACAACATTTATGGAAAAAAGAAAGGGACATTGTCCACAAATGTTCTTGTAGCAATGCACACATGTGTTGGCCCTGTATCGTAATCTGCATATTGAACCAGAAAAGGTGGATATAAAACTGCCACATTGAAACAAAACAGAAATTTGTTTTTGTAGATGATGTATGTTCTGCATTGGATATGCTTCTTTAGTGTTTAAGAATAAATATGACTGGAATTACTACAGAAAATTGCAGATGGACATTTCCTATACAGGGACTAAAGTAGACACATTTGACTATCCTCTCCCGATTTAAACCCAATGTACAGTAGCATATTTAACATTCGGACTCAATTATGTTACCCGTAATAATACTTTCACCTTCTTTTAAACCCTGTTCTTATTGCTTGCATGCAATATCATTGAATTACTTGATAATCTTTCATAACAGTGACAAGCATTTGCTTTTGTGACAATAATAATAATATACATTGTATATGCTGCAACAACTGTCATAATTAGTGAACTTTAGTAAGTCATGTACGAGGGCTGCTGATGAAGAGTAGACGTACCAGAGCTGAAGGTGAAGAGCTCGCCCAGGAGACACAGCAGCTGGAGGGCCATGAGGCACTTGGAGAAGGACGCTCCAGGAAGCAGAACCTCCAGCAGGCTCACACACAGCCAGCGCAGGAACTCCTACACACAACAAGCCTTTTAGTTCTTTCAAAAGAGAAAAAAAGACTGTGTGCTCTGCTGTGTTCATGAGTGTGGTTCACCTCGTACTGATGTAGTGTGTGTTGGTCTGCGTCCCTCTTGTCCGGATCTCTCTCCTGGCTCATTCTCTTCTGCAGCAGCAGAGCGCTGTCCTTCAATCGACACAGCAGCTGGACAGGAGAGGATTTCAAGCTCCATTTAGTGATAGAAGTTTTTATTTCATCATACAATTGTGTCATCGATTGGGCCATGCAGGATAAAAGGGTTGTTAGCACTGAGGATCCCTTTGAATATGTCCTTGTATAGACTGCTCCTAGCTCATACAATGACTGCAGGTTGCCATCTGAGCCTTAGATTGAGCTGAGAAACTTAAATCCATATTTAAAAAAATATTATGCAACAGCTAAAGTCAATGCATGTAAATGTCTGACCTTCTTCAGCAGGCTGACTGTCTGCTGTCTGACGCCTGGTGCCTGACTGTTGAGATTATGCGGCAGGAAGTAACGGATCAGGTCCATTTCCTGAGGGGTCAGGGCTTCGGTGCTGCGGAGGGTCTCACACACCAACCCCAAGGCGTCCATCCTCACCTGAGGGAACAATTGTATATTTACATTAGATACTGAAAATGTAAATAAAGAGTAGTTTTTTCTTAAATAAAGTAATTTTAACATAAATGTAGACATATTAAAAAAACGTAGCTTGTGTGAGTGATTGTTGCAGTTTTAAATAATAGGATTTTTCAGAGATGGAGTCATTTTCCCAAAAAATATTTGATTTGTTGAAAAATAAGTCATATTTGATCAGAGGGGTTCTTTCAATAAGATATCTACTATGTAACACGTACAACAGTGAGAACAAAGGTTTTACACATGAGGGCTCAGACACTCACTTGATCATGTTTGTGTACCAGTGCTTGTTGGAGCAGGGAGAGGGGCACCAGGCCCCCCCACAGACCCTCCTTTGAGGACGGAACGACACCCTGGGCCCGGGCCGCCCGCAGGCACGTCATGAGAGCGCCCAGTGCTCCTCTGCTGCCCGAAGGGCCTGTGAGGACAGAAACACAGCATTCAGAGAGCGGCCACTCATTTGTTTGATGATGCTGTTAGAGAATGCTGCCACTGTAACTGTGGAGAGGACGTGTTTACTATGTTTATACCACAACAGGATGCTTTGTGGAGCGAAGAGATATTCATATGCAGCTGATGTAATCAAAACAGAAGAAATAAAGAAAAGTGTGTCAGATAAATTCAAATGTTATGAGACAGAAAGGCCTATGTGTATTTTGGTTTGTGTTTTGTATTTCATTTAAGAATATGTAGGCCTAAAGCTCAGGGAAATTATTTGTCTTCAAATATAAGCCTCGAGTAATATTTATTTATATATTAAATATGTATTTATTTAATAAATATTCATTCATTTTAATATTTATACGGCTTTAAAAAAAAATATATATATTTGTTTAACTTTTAATTTGTTTGCATTATGTGCAAGTTTATAAATTATATGTATATACCCTACTTCTTTATGTATCATAAATCTTCATGCTGTCTATAGCAGGGGTTCCCAACCTTTTTTCCCAAAAGCCCCCCAAAATGACTCCTGTTGGAAGTTGCGCCCCCCCCACACACACACACACAAGGGGGCATGCAACAGCTGTAATTAAAGTTTCAAAGTCTCAAAAATGCTACAACTACTGTCACAAACTGGATGAATGTGAAGTATTTTGTTAAAGGAGGATACAGGCGTAATTAAGGAGCACTATTGGAGTGGAGTGACTTAATTAATTTGGATTTCCCGCTGCATGAAAAAATTAAAGTACGGCATAAGTGGAAACAATTCAAAAAGGGATTAAACTGTTTAAAACACATGCTCAAAGTAAACCGGATTTTGACGATGTGTTTATGGGGATTCAAAAGTCATAAATAATCTACAAAATGGAGGAGACCGATCTGATCGGAGCAACTGTAACAAATAATCCAACTGAAACCGGCATGGACAATGACTATGTTTTAAAAATGAGCTTATCCAGAAAAGCCTGGTTTGGACACTTTACGGGCAGAAGAAATATTTCTATTAAAGAAAGAATTATACATTTCTGTCTTTTTATGCCTTTATTAGCTACTAACTTGAATTTTTATTACAATTAATTAATCAATTATTTTTTTGATTTTATTGTAATTTAGAGACAAGGCCTTTAGCGACAATCATGTATTACCTTACAATTATATATAAAAAATAAAAATAAATAAAAAATAAAGTCTAAATATGATATTTGACCTCAAATCATCTGAGGCCTGGCGCGCCTCCTGCGATCTTTGGCGCACCCCCTGCGATCTTTAGCGCCCCCCAGGTTAGGAACCACTGCATAGGATATAGGTTTCCAAGTTCAATAATAAAAACAAACAATATTTCCGGAGTTTCTCCAAACGTCCCTCACGGACAAGTTGAGCAACAGCACACATTTGAATGTAATAATAGCAGAAATGCTGGATCAGACGTATGAATATTTGAGTCTTAACCTGTGCTGCAGGGCGGGGTGTCCTGCAGGGCCTGCACCATGTGCGTCAGACTGGACGGGCTGCAGCGGAGCAGCTTGGGCAGGAAGTAGTCCAGGATGTACGTGGTCTGGTCCAGCTTGGCCCGGCACAGCACCAGCAGCAGGGGGGTCACCCACGTCTTGTGCCAAACCTCCATCCAGACCTCTGAACCTGTGGTGTCCACTGCACCCGCCTCACTGCCCAGCTGCGCCTTGTGGCTGACGAACAGCCTCTCCAGGAGGTCGCTGGCGTACGGAGCCAGGTTCTGGTCCCCCATCAGGCCCAGGAGACTAACAGGCAGCTGGGGCTGGACGTCCAGTAGGTGCCTTGCCCCGTAGAGCTCCACCAGGCAGCTCAGGGAGCCGTACTTCCCCCTCATGTGCCACTCCAGCCCCAGCAGGCTGAGGGTGAGCTCTGTGATGTAGGAGTCCTCGGCTGGATCAAAGATGGAGGAACATGTGTGCTGATGGAGGAGGAGGAGGTTGCGGAACAGCGCGCGGGTTTGGTGGCGGACGCCGTCCAGCGGGTGCTCCCAGTGGGAGTAGATGTGCTCCAGCAGGCGTTGCTGCAGCTCAGAGCCTCCGCTGAGGGACTGTTGGAGGCAGGGGGGGCAGACCTGCCTCTCCCCCTGCAGGCAGTCCAGAGCAGCGCTGCTCCACAGGGTCAGCACCCGAGACACCACCATCGCTGTACTGGACTCCTTTATACTACAGCAGAGGGGTACACATTGTTTACACGTCAGAAACACTTGGAACTTTCAAAGAAGGTTCACACAAGCAGCCACTCTCAGTATTACTGTTTTATTGTTTTTACCTGCTACATTTTATATCTACATGCATGTTTTGCCAGCAAGTTTTGATTAGGAATGTGATATTATCTGTGATAAGTTTTTTTTTTTGTGTCCTTTACTTTAAATGTTGTACTGTTTTTTGGAAGAAATGAAAAGTATATAACGTGTATTTAAATATTGAATTTATGGCAATGAAACATGAACTCACTATGGGCGCATAAGTGTACCTTGTTTGATACAGATCTTCTTAAAAGGATGATGAAAATAATGCTTAAAAATGATCATTCCCTTTAATATCTCGAATCATTTTTGCAACATAAGTCAAAAGGATTGCAATAACTAATCGTTTCCAAATTGCAGCCATTGTGGGCAGCATTATAATTTGTTGCTTTAAATGACTTTTGATTCTACTGGGGAACCTCCTGATATAAGCAGTCAGTACTGATTGGGGATCAGTGTACCTGACGTCCAGATCCAGCAGAGTGTTGGGAACCAGCAGCAGCAGCTGTTCCCACTGCGGCCCGGGCAGAGCGCCCTTCCAGCTCAACATGGCCAGAGCCCCGTGACACAGATACAGAGAGACCCCAGCGGGGCGAGCGCTGCTGCACAGACCCTCACACCTCTGCTGCAGCCACCGAGGGGCGGAGTCTAAACCCTGTGCTGAGCCACGCAGCAGACTGCACACCTGAGGAACAGTTCAACAGAATGAATTTAGCAGCTTTAAACATGCACCATTATAAATATGTATATCTTATGCTATTTCATTTGTACATAATTTACTTATTCCTGCATTTTATTAACAACATCATGTCACGTGCACTATTTCATGTATTTTAATTTTTATGTGGTATTGTATGTTGCAACGTTTTTATTTGACAAGTATTTCAAAGATACACAAGTCAGAATAAAATATTAATTGTTCTCAAACATTTGTGTGAACATGTGAACAATCCAGAATTCTAAACAACTACCACAACTCACCACAGAGGCAACTTCATCTCCACCCCCCATGGCAGAGCGGATCAGTAACACTATAGCCATGCCCGCTGTACTCTGGACTGACTGGATAAAGTCCTCTATGAAAGGAAAGGGGGGGGAGTGAGAGGAGAGTGTGTACGCACAGGTATTTCTGATTTCAAGTTCTGGAGCAATGGGAAAGTTCATGGCTCCATCTGCTCCTAAGAAGCTGCTTCCAACAGTCCTTTGTTCCCTGAGTTAAGGACTTCATCTGAGAAGTTGTAATAACTGCTTAGTAAGGATGTATCTTGACTGATGTCTCTGCATTGAAATGAAGGCAGATCTTCATGTCTACTTCCATCAGCTGGGTCACTGTACATGTCACGTGTTTCCACCATTTAACAGACACGATAGCGACACCGGTTCTTTCCGTTTGTCATTTTGGCAACATCTGGTCCTGGAGCAGTTTTGAACAGAAATGCATTTACATAACCAAGTTATGGTTAGGACTCAGTAAAGTGTTCAGGTAATTTTCATTTATTTAAGCATTTCCCTCATGCTGCTTTTTACTTCTACTCCATAACTCAGAGGGAATTCGACTGTTTACTCCACTATTGTTCTTTGTTTAGTCTAGTTAGTTTTGAAGATTCAGATTCATATTAACAAAACACAATATAATAAACAAATGTATCATGCATTATTATAGGTAGTGATCTCTTTAACTGTATTCATCCCTTGTAGAAAGTAACAAGCTACACAATAATGCATCAGTCATTATAATTCAATATCATGTTATAGGATATTATTTGATGGATTGTTTTGGTCAATTTGATGCTTATACTTTTGGACTTTTACAATTTTCAAATGCAGGTCCTTTTTTTTAGTACTTCTAAATTCTGGTAGTTGTATGAGGGTGGTGGTGTGATCCCCAGAGGGTCTCTAGTTTTGCCCTGATTCTTACCATCAGTGAGGATGTGTGTGTAGCAGCCCAGCAGGCTGCTCAGTGTGTCCTCCAGCTTGGTGTGTGTGTGTTGAGCCTGCAGCGAGGAGCCGATGGTCTCCTGGGATCTCTGCATCACCAGCATGGAGGCCTTCACTGTCGCCAGGCAACAATACATCAGCTGGGCCTGGGCGATGTGACGTCCTGCGAGACCACTGGGAAAACAGCAGGGGGCGACAACAACAAGGTATATACAGTATATTCAGAATCACAATAAGATGATTTGTATTCATCCTGAGGAAAATAATGTAGATTCGTTTTAGAATAAAAAAGATCAAATACAATTATATAAAAAATATATATCTATATATTTAATGTAAACATAAAATATTGCATTATAATTGAATTAAATAGAATATTTATATTAGCATAAGAAGTTAAGTATAAATGTGCACATTGTAATTCATTATATTAGAACAATCGTTACGTAATATGTGTATATTACAAAGTATGCAGTGGTGTAACTATTAATAAAGATATACATATATAAAAACACTGAAGAAAAGTAGATGTGGAAAGATATGGAACACAGAATATGCCTGTATACCTGTTCTGATGAAGACATTCACTCAATCCCTTGTGAAGAAACTGCATCACTAAATAGAGGAGAAAGATAGTTCATGACTGGCTTCTTTAGAAAAAGAAAAAGGGGAGACATTTCTAATTCCTCGGACACTAACCTTCAGGCAGCAGTTTGTTAATGCATCTCTCACCTGGAGGAAAGGTAATGTAGTTATTCTACAGTAGAAAATCAGATTGATTTGATATCCGTTATCTCAAAAGTAGAACAATTCTGGAGTAAAGGTAAAGACGACCCCCCCCCACCCCTTACCGAGAGCGAAGCCATCCAGACAGGCAGTGATGGTGTCAGTGATGTGTGGGTACTGCTCTGAGGTTGGGTTGGACAGACAGTCGGACAGACAGGCGGACAAACTGTTGACAGTCTGCTCCTGTAGCCAGGCTGGCACTGAACCTAAAGCACTGAGGATATCAAAACAGAGACATGGCAATAATCAGGTTATCAAAATGATGTTTGTGATATTTAAGTTTGAATTCATATTGTAATGGTTGTAATTTAATAAAGATTAAAAAGATACATTTTTAATTTGCAAACTTGGGATGTAAAATGGTAAATAGACCAAAAGATATTTACTTTTTTATACAGAAAATATGACTTTCATGATTAACTGATAATAATTGATAACACTGGAGATGACAGTTTGCACTAGTCTGAAAACTGATATGGAATTGACATTGCTGTTACGGTGAGGATTCAGATTGATATACAGTTTATTGATTAGAAACGTTTCTTGCTGTTTGCCATTTGAAAGAAGAATAAAATCAGCCAAACAAATACTGCTTTTCCCACTAGCATCATATGAAATCTCCTTATAGTCTCAATCTTATTTACTTGTAGAGATGCGTTTCAAATTAAAATCCTAAAATGTAGCATTGTACCTGGCGATGGTTCTTCGCAGGGGGTTCTTAGCCTGCAGGGAGGTGTAGACCAGAGTCAGGGTGTGCAGACAGGACTCCAGAAGAGCTCCATCAGAGGGCTCTTCACTCAGGGCCTCCAGCTGGGACCCCGCCTGGTGGAGTATGGACAAACAAAGGTTTGTTAAAGGCCCCATGTCATGCTTTTCCGGTTATTACCCGTCCCCTTGTGTGTTATGAAGGTTTTTCTGCATGTAAACGGTCTGCAGAGTCACAAACCCTCAAAGTACACCCTGTAGCGAGTAAAACTCTAACACAGAAAAGACCTGTCTATGCTGCCCCAGAACGCCTCGTTGGAGATTTCTCTTTTTCCATTGTTTACTTCTTATAATGTAGTAATTACAGTGACGTATTGGGTATAGTGACGTAACGTCTCTAATCTCTATACCCAATAGAATACACACACACACTCAATCTTTTCCCAGCTGCAGCTCCGCAGATTTCTCAGCCTGAACTCAGCCTGAGACAGCGAGACGCGGCGGGGCTCGGCCTGGGCTTGTTATGAGCACACACGCAGACTCACACCCAGGCTGCAGGTGTGTGTGTGAGGAAGTCCGGTTCAGGCTGGGTTTCGCTGTGTCTCGCAGATCCCCCGCAGCAAGCCAGCTCACACTGTCCGCTCCAGCACCGAGCCCCGCAATGTCCCACCAACACGGCACCCAGACCCCACGCAGCATTCTCATCTGCTTGTCATTACTGGTGTCATTTTCTGGTTGCTAATGCCATTGGAACACATAATCACTGATGTTCCGCTGTAACGGTGGTGGACTCATCAGAACAGAGTGAACCCTAAGTGAAGAATAATATTCCTGTGTACGGAAAGGTTTGTAATCAAGAATGATACAACGTTTACATAATAAGAAAAGCTGAATGGTGTGCCGTTAGATACCGTGCAGACCAGGCAGGACCCTGCTCCCTAGGGAGAGACAACCGAAAGGGACTCCAATAGAAGGGTCAAGGGAAACTTGACAACCCAAAAGGAGGTCCTTCAAAAAGTACATGCCTACAACTCCCAGAATTCCTGTCTCCCACGGCAAAGAGTAATGGACTATAGACTCTGTTTTGCGACAAACATAAACGACATTTTCACAGAAATGCCATCCCCCGAATAAACAATAAGTATACATGTCGTGAAACCGAGCTGGTTTTTAGCAAATTTTTACACGATATTTATTTTGCAACTAAACTAACTTTATTTCACGTTTTATTGAATCTAAAGTTCTTAAATCTGAATTTCCAGGGTACAGTACCGGTAAAGATGACTGTATTAAGTAACAACTCCAGATGATCTGTATCCTAATGTAACACGTAAACATAGGTTTGATTGTAACCAAAGATTGTTGTCGTAGAGACATATCATACACATAAAGTGAGACAGGATTTGCCGAACAACCTCAGGACGGGGGGGGGGGGGGGAAGGGACACTCGGGTGCCACGAGACTCACCA